AATGGAAGAATTTGCTTTCAGAACAACAGAGTTGGAAGGCACCTTGGAGGTTTTCTAATCCAGACCCCACCCCAGGCAGGAGATCCTATACCATCTCAGAAATGGTTGTCCAGTCTCTTCTTAAATGCCTCCAGTGATGGAGCACCCACAACTTCTGGTGGCAAGCTGTTCCACTGGTTAATTGTTCTAACTGTTAGGAAATTTCTCCTTAGTTCTAGGTTGCTTCTCTCCTTGATTCATTTCCATTGCTTTTGTTTGAATGACTCTGCTGAACAGCTTGGCCAACCTAGATGAAAGCTTTGGCTCTAGAATAGAACAGAACAGAACAGAATAGAAATAGAATAGTATATGGAATAGAATAGAACAGAACAGAACAGAACAAAACAGAACAAAACAAAACAGAACAGAACAGAACAGAACAGAATAGAATAGAATAGAATAGAATAGAATAGAATAGAATAGAATTCTTTTATTGGCCAAGTGTGGTTGGACACACAAGGAATTTGTCTTGGTGCAAATGCTCTCAGGGTACATAAAAGAAAAGGTACATTCGTCAAGAATCAAGAATCATAAGATACAACACTTAATAATAGTCATAGGGTACAATAAGCAATCAAATCATACCAGGAAACAGTCAATATAAATAGTAAGGATCCAAGTTACAGTCATACAGTGACAAGTGGGAGGGGATGGGCAATAAGGAGTGATGAGAAGATTAATAGTAATAGTAGTGCAGTCTTTGTAAATAGTTGTACAGTGTTGAAGGAAATATTTGTTTAGCAGAGTGATGGCATTTGGGGAAAAACTCCCCTTGTATCTAGTTGTTCTGGTGTGCAGTGCTCTATAGCATCATTTTGAGGGTAGGAGTTGAAACAGTTTATGTCCAGGATGTGAGGGGCCTGTAGATATTTTCACAGCCCTCTTTTTGACTTGTGCAGTGTACACGATGGAAGGCAGATTGGTAGTAATTGTTTTTTCTGCAGTCCTAATTACTCTCTGAAGTCTGTGTCTGTCCTGTTGGGTTGCAGAACCAAACTAGACATATTAAATTGGTGTAATTGTTTTCCCCATCCAATGCCCCAACTGATTTGCAGCCAAGCATTGTTTGTTTAGCTTTGCTGAAAGGCAAAACGACCTAACATTTTGCTGGTTGTTTAGTTAGTGAAGCGTGTCAACTACACAACCGTGTAGGAAATGACACTGATTTACAACACAGGTTGCAAGAATTGCAACCGCAGCTATTGAAACCTTTGGCACTGAAAGGTGATAACATTTGACAGGTACATTTAAACCCGACAGTGATTATTGTAATCTAGGATTGCTGCCCGGCCGGCTGAATTTCCACCTTTTCCTGTTGGCTTTACAATATAATATCTCTTTAATTTTTTTTTCAATGTGCTCCGTCCATTCCGAGCCAATCTTATCGAAGAGGTCAGTCTTTTGCATCATTATAGTTCCTATGTTCAAAGTTCAATGACCACATTCTTGCTTAGTAATGGAGGCCTTACTGGAAATGTCATGGATAAAGTTCATATCTTCCAACACATCCTGTTCTTAAATGTCAGTAAGGAGAGAAGCAAAAATTACACCAAAACCATTCCATCTTCATAATCATTTCCCCCTCCCCCATGAGTTCCAAAGAAAAGGAATATTTATTTAATCCTCGGCACTGAAAAGCAGATTAAATTATATAAATAAGTTGAACAACATGTTCTACAGATGACCTAGTGTTGAGGATTTACTTTAGGGCTGAAGACAAAAGTCTGTTTTTTCTCAGAGGTAATGGCACACTTTTCTATCCCCTGGGCCATTAAAATAAAGTTTTCTAATTAGAAAGACCAGGGGTCTTCAAACTTGACAGCTTTAATACTTGTAGAGTTCAACTCCCAGAATTCCTTCTCCAATCATGTTAGCTCAGGAATTCTGGGAGTTGAAGTTGAAGTCCAGAAGTCTTAAACTTGCCAAGTTTGAAGATAGATAGATAGATAGATAGATAGATAGATAGATAGATAGATAGATAGATAGATAGATAGATAGATAGAGATAGCTGATGGAGAGAGAGAGAGAGAGAGAGAGCTGATAGATACACAGAGATAGCTGAGAGAGAAAGAGGGAGGGTTGATACATACATACATACATACATACATACATACATACATACATGTGTGTGTGTGTGTTTTCTGAGAGAGAGAGAGAGAGAGAGAGAGAGAGAGAAGATAGATACATAGAGATAGCTGATATAGATAGGTAGGTTGGTAGATAAAGCTGATTGATTAATTAATAGACAGACCGGCAGGTAGGCAGGCAGGCTGGCAGACAGACAGGCAGGCAGGCAGGCAGACTGACTGACTGACTGGCTCATTTTTCTGGAGACCACAGAGTGTGGTGTGGTGTGGTGTGGTCCAACCCTCCAAGATGGCAGGTGTAGCATACAGAGGGCCAGGCCTTCCTTATGATGCCCCATTCGTTCCCCTACAGCTCGTGGAGACTGCTGTTTGTTTTCTTCATAAAAAAAAATGTTCCACATTATTTCACATGTTATTCACAAATGACATTTTGAGAACTGCGGTTTTGAATTGTGACTTCCCTGTTTTCTTGGTTACTTTTTGTTTTCACTATAAAACAATTCTCTCTCCGATTGATTTCTAGGAACTTGGGTTGGTCATTTCGGGAACCTTGCCAGTGTTTAACTTTACCAAAGATCAAAACAACGTTCAGGTAAGCCCCTCACACAATCCTGGGGTGACATAAAGCTTCCACATCAAGCAGTTAAGTAGTCTAATGACTTGAAATGGAAACCAGTTCATCCTCCCTGCAATGAGCTTGCAATACTACAAGCACTGGGGAAATCAGGAGATTTGGGCAGTTCAAATGAGACTGATTGCAAGCTTGAGTTCTCTACAAAAATCTGGTCAACTAACAGACAAGGGAAAAGAGTGGGAGATAAGAAAGACATTCAAGGTGGGTTGGAGTTAGTTCTCTTGTGGGTACGCAGGGCTCATGACTGATGACCGTTTGATCCCTCCCTCGGATTCAACTTGATCATCTCCTATAGCAGGGCTGTCAAACTCCGAGCCCACAGGCTGGATGCATCATGTGCTGGCCATGTGCACACCCGGTTTAACAAAAGGGGGGGGGGAAGTCTCGATATGGCACGTGATGCTGCCATGAGGACTTGAGTTTGATGCCCTTGTACTACAATATCTCTGTGCAGAAATAAGTCCACAAAGATACATGAGATTTAACTTTTAAGAGACCACAGCTTGTATATTTTTCAACCCAAATGGACTGGGAACAAGTTTTACAACATTTGATTTGGAAATCATCTAAGTAGATTTGTATCTGGAGTTGGTTTGCTGTGGATCATCAGGAAATAACTTCCAGGTTTTGTTTGTTTATCTTGGTGTGGGTGTGAGAGAGAGAATGTGTTGGCAACGCCATTCAGATTGTTCTGATATTCTGAGTATCTTGGATTAATTATAGGCTACTCCTCTGGAGATTGGGAGAAGGCCACGACTGACTGAGACAAAAAAAATAAGAGATGCCTAGATATACAGATGGTTTCTCTCTCTCTCTCTCTCCCCCTTCCTTCCTTCCTTCCTTCCTTTCTTCCTTCCTTCCTTCCTTTTTTCTTTCTTTCTTTCTTCCTTCCTTTCTTTTCTTTCTTTCCTTCCTTCCTTCCTTCTTTTTTCTTTCTCTCCTCCTCTCTCCCCATCGCCTCTTTTTCTTTCTTTCTTTCTTTCTTTCTTTCTTTCTTTCTTTCTTTCTTTCTTTCTTTCTTGTCGGGAGATGCATACATGGGGTACACACACTATCAAAGTAAACACCAGGCTTTAACAAGACTTCAAATGGTGTTAATTCCTTGGCATGTAAAATGTATACACCACTGGAGGAGGAATCATCTCATCAACATCTGGAACATGCCAGTTTCTTCTTAATTATCTTTCACCTCCTCCAAACAGAAATTTGGCTTTATTCATTCAACTTAACATTGAATCATCTGAAAATAAATCTGTTTTTTGTTTGTTTTGTTGGCCAGAACCAGCTGATCCTTGGCGTAATGGGAGTTGATGTGTCCTTAGAAGAAATTAAAAAAGTCACCCCTCGCTTTACTGTAAGTTTCCATTCTTGTCTTTTTGCTGTTTCTGCAGTAGGTTGGATCGTCTTCAAGTTTCTCTTCCAGTCTATCTCGTTCCACTTGACTTCCTGGAAGTCAAGGGAGGGAAAAAATGATTTCCCCTTTCCCCTATTTTTGACTTCTTTCTTTAAGCAGTAAACGCAAGAGCTACCCATGTTCTAGTCCCTTGTAGATGACTTGGAGGTGATGGCTCTATGCCACGGCTTTCAAAAGCCGAGGACACAAAAGGAGCTATTAACCTGATTGTCCTCTCTGCTTCCTTTGTAGCCGATGCTTTTGAACATTATATCAACCCATAAACAATCTCCTCTTTTGGACCGAGTGGCCTTCCCTTTACATAATACGTCATGTTTATATCAATGGGGGAATCACTGTTTTTTGTTTTTTGTTTTCATAGGAATCAGGTTGGAACAAAATGAAACAGCTTAATTTCCAGGATTATTTCATCATCGGGTTGTTGTTTTTTCTGGAGCTATAATGAATGATATTAAAATGTGCTGAAATATTTTGCAGCCAGCATTTTTTTAATTCCTCGTTGAACCATCTCCAGATATGCTGGAGATAATAGATCTTGTCATTTGCAAAAAGTTGCATCAATTCAATTCACGTTAGCGTTGAAGAGAAGTTTCAATTCCATAGTCAGTATGGGCAGTCCTCAACATACGACCATGGGGGGCGGGGCAATGTTTCTGTGACAAAGCGAGAACAGTGGTTCAGTGAATTTTGCCTCATTTTTACAACTTTTTTGTGATGACCCAGGGTGGGATACAAAATAAACACAATCACAAAAAACAGGTGAAGCCCCTTTTATTCCTTCACTTTACTTCCAAGCTCCAAATATTCTTGACTGGAGACAAAAAACTTGCACACGAGCAGTTACCAGAAGGAGGAAATGCTGTTTAAATTATAAAGAGTAAAAGACAACACAAACCAGGCAAGATAAGGGCTGGAAGACGTCCACAGATATCAGAACACACAGTAGTAAGGACGCCAAACTCAGAGAGATACAATAAACTAGAGATATTTTCACGCTTTGTTTCCAGCACTCGCCCATACGTATGTCCATCCTCTTATTCAGTTGCTGCAGCCCATGAAGAGGATCAAGGCCCTCTCCTCCCCAGTAGACCACGTCTCTCCCTTATCTTCTCCCTGCATGCCCTAGGATGGAGAAGGGATGGGCCTGGGTCCTCCTCTGACTGCCCAGCTGGCCTCTGCCCTTCTCCAGCCTCCTCCACAACATCCAGAGCCACACTTCCACTCCCTGTTGGCTGTTCCTCCTCCCCTTCAGAGTCAGGGGCATGGCACTTTTCTTGCCATAGCTGTTAAATGAAACACTGTAGTTATTTAAGTTAGCAACATGGTTGTTAAGTGAATCTGGCTTCCCTGTTGACTTTGCTCAGCAGAAGGTTGCAATTGACAAACCAAATAAAATAAAAATAAATAAAATAAATAAAAGGGGATCATGTAGCTCCAGGACATTGCAACTGTCATAAATGTGGGTCAGTTGCCAAGGATCTGAATTTGGATCGCATGAATCTGGGGGATGCTGCAATGGTTGTATGTGTGAAAAATGGTCATAAGTCTCTTTTTCTAGTGCCGTTTTAGCCTGGAATGGTCACTAAGCAAAAAACTGTTGTAAGTGGAGAACTACCTGCATGGTTACAATGTCCAGCTTTTCTGAAATGCAATTATTACATTTCTTTTCCTTTAACAGCTGTGTCCCAACGGTTATTATTTTGCCATTGATCCCAATGGCTATGTGCTGCTTCACCCAAATCTTCAACCAAAGGTATGGGATATCTTCTGGTTGCCATTTATTTCAATTTTCCATTGTTTTGCAAAAGGCATTTGGAAAGATCGTTAATTCCCCGAAGATTTTCAGTTTTCCCTGGTAACTTTGGTGCATGTTCAGAAGGTCTTTTGCTTTTATTTTATACTCTAAAGCTCCAAGGCCCATCTTCCTGTTGGCTAAAATGGACCAAAGCGGAAGGTAAAAACCCTACTAAGAACTTCCATGCTCGAAGTAGCTGAAATCACAATAGGACATTGCTTTGATTTCAAGATCTAAAGAAAGACTGTTTTGAATTTCTTCAGTTTGTTGTCCAGTTTCTTTGGTTTATGGCCCAATACCTTATTTTTCTTAAATTCTTATTTGTGTACATGCTGAAACTGAATCTTGAAATGTGTATGTCCATTTGCTTGTCCAAAAACTGAACATAGTTTTTGACACCTCCTCTTTTGCTCTTCGAGTTTAACACACGTAGAGTTGTTATGTAGACCAGCTTACATCCTTAGTAAACTCTAACTGTGCCTTATTTATATTTACACATACACACAGGCTCTGCTTTTTACATTTTTAAAAAATGTGTTTGAGGAGTTTTTAAACTCAAAACATGTACAATACAATGAGCTTTTTATTTATAGCTTTGTGCATAGCTTTTATTCCCCTAACAACAAATTATCACTGTTCCTGAAACCTCGACAAGCCTTTTGAAACATGACCTATTTTTTCCCCCTGCCTAAAAATTCACAGCAAGACACAGTTCTGCAACTGGTTTGTTTGACTTACAAGCAAATTATATCAACTTCTATTTATTTTATTTATTTATTTATTTTAAAAAAACTCATTCGATTTAATAGTACTTACATCCAAATCATTGTGGTAATTTTGCGGTCCTTTTTCTCCTGAAACTATTATTAGAATATAAAACCCTTAACTCTAAAAGTTCTGGGGAAAAAAAAATCCTTTTATTCAACTGAATGATCTGGTTTGTGGGTTGGGCTATTAAAGTATAGTTATGTAGTATTGAAATATGGCTACAATTACTTGAGCTGGTATAGTAGACCGTGTTGTAAAACAGACATCCTTTTGCTTAGATGTTTATTATTTATTTAATTGGATGTCTTACATTTGATTTCATCATGCAGGACAGGAGACTCCTGTCCACAATCAGCTCGGATCTTTTAAAACAGGGAATTATTTGTAAAATAAGTTCTTGTGGAGGACCAGCGAGACTTTCAAAATAAGGTTGGAAGTGGCCCATGGCTTCACCAACAGAATTGGGGTGGTGAAATGTAACACCCCTGTGGTTGTGTAGGTTTCAATGGCACCTTCACTTGTAGCAAAGAAAGCAGTGGAAATGCTTGCAGGGAAAGAAACGATGCGTAGATGCCAAGCAGAACCAATGTTTACAAATTACTATGAAACTGAAGGAAAGTATTATTTGGTAACCCAGCGAGTGATTCCTGCTAGTTGGTAATTCAGTAGGGAAATAACCTGATCCCAGCTCCTCTCTTTCTCTTGAGTAGCCAGTCATTTTAATGTTGAAAATTGGGATTCGGTTCTGAGTTGCTGGATCGAAGAGGCTGGTTGTGCGCAAAGAGAGGAAGCGCACAATCACACTTGCAAGTCTCCATCTTGTTAGGGTTGTAGGTGTCAGGGTTCCAAGTAATGAATCCATACAGTGGTGGGATTCAAATTGTTTTACCACTGGTTTGGTGGACATGGCTTGGTGGGCGTGCTTTGCCTAACGCCTGCACATAGCTCTCCCCATACCAGCTGAGACCTGCAGCGCCAATCAGCTGAGAGGATAAAAAAGAGAAAAGCGCAGGGGCGGGTGGAAGGGCTGATCCTCCACTTCTCTCTTCTTTTTCCTCTCAGCTGATTGTTTTTTTCCTATTCTCAGCTGATCATCAGAAGCGCTTTTTTTTTACTACCGGTTCGGCTGAACCAGTCTGAACCGGTAGCATACCACCACTGAATCCATAGCAACCAAAACTCCAAGGCATGTAGATTCCTCAAATAATACTTTTATTGGAATTATCATATTGGCACATATCTGGTGAAAACCAACTCTAAAGATCCCTGCGTTTTTCACCTCATTGAAAGCAAAAGTTTATCTTTCTCAAAACAATCAGTGACATGGTCCAATCCTGACGCTGTCTGGTTGTTTGGTGACATCACTCCACCTTCCTCCAACCAGGTGTGAGAATGTCCTTGGTTCCCAAGAGAAAGTATTTTGTTTTGGCTACAAAATCCCAGCTCTCTAAAAAAATCTGCCTCCCTATTCCTCAGCTTGAGTATGACAACACTGAAGCTTCCAAAATGGCTTCGGTTAGGTCAACTTTAGCATTGATAGTAGGTGTGTTGTAATGCTTGTTCTTCACATCCTAGTTGAGGTACTTAGCTTCCAGTCCACCACACATAAAGCTATGGGTTACAGGGACAAGGGTTTACTCACAGGGAGTTGTCTCCCTCCACAGTCTATTAGTGAAGCACCTCACCTAAGTTAATGTGATCTGTGCCATTTTTAAATCATCTATCTGTCCTCGTTGCTCAGATAGCAAAATATTCTCTCTCTATTGAGTACCTTCAGTTGGAATCAAAGATGTCATGTCGAAGTTTGGTCTCAGAGATCTAGGACAACTCAACAACTCATTGTGGGACACGAGTTACACTAAAATAGAAGAAACAGTAGAATAGAATCATTCAAGAAAGGATGCCGAAGGAGGGACAAAATGAAATGTAAATGACAAAAATTAAAATCTTTTTTGAATTCTTTTAAATAATTCAACTGAATGGTTGAATTGTTCCCTCAGTGAGTTGTTCCGTGCCGAGCTGGCCATGGCAAGTTGTCCGATGGTGAGCTAGCTGTGGTGAGGTGGCCGTGGCAAGTTAACCATGGCGAATTGGCTGTGGCAAGTTGATGATGGCAAATTGGTAATGGCAAGTTGTCCCATTCTGGATCTGATTGCCAAATTGCTCAGAATTTTAGATTAGAAGAATGAGGGTTGTTAGTAGAAATTGACTGCCATGTGGAAACGCCGTATGAATAGATGCTGTTCTGTTGCTTTAGCACATTGGTGTGGGCATCCCCAAAGTTAAACAGAGGAGACCCCATGTCCAGGTAACTACAAATGGAAGTGACTAATGGTGTGGTCGAAGCTGTTTTAGCTGCCTGGGAGAAATCTAAAATAGGCTGTTCAACCAGCAGTTTTTCTCTAACGCATGAAGCTCGCAAAATTAAGTATCAATGCCTCTAGGAGATGTTCCTTCAAGTGAGAGCTTTTGTCTGTTCAGTTGAATTCGTGCTTTATCCTTTGAAGAGAAGACTCAAAATGCAGCAGATTAATTATTGTGAAGTTGATATAACACTTGAGGAAGTATGCAAGGTTTTACGTTTGAAACTGACCACTGATAGAATTCTAAAGTAGATACTACAAGACTTTCAAATGCATCCTTGTGACTTTTTTTGACCATGTCTGCAGCTGTGATGACCCGGGGCGTGGCACAAAGGCAACATAGTCAGATAAGCAATAAGAGTCCCTTTATTATCTCCACCTTTGCCCCCAATGTCCAGGTTACCTTCTGACTGGAGAAAAACTCTCACAGGAACAGCCTTTAACTGCAGAAAATTAAATCCAAAACATGGTCAACACAAACTGTAACTTAAAGTCCAAACAAGCCAAACTGAAGTAATTAGTTTGGCAGGGCAGGAGCAAGAATTTCAGACTTGAAGGCACAGCAAAACTCACATAGTTGGGAAGATGCCAGGAGCACAGATAAGTCATGACAACACAGGATAAAGTCACGTTTGCTTCCAGCAGCTGCTGCACGCAGCCTGCCTTTCTTATTAACTGTTTTCCCAGATGTGGCTAATGAAGGGAATCAGGGCCCTTTCCTCCCCCGTAAGCCACGCAAGCCACGTTGCTCCCTTTTCCGTTCCTCCCTGTGTGTCCTAGGATGAAGAGAGGGTGGGCCTGGGTCTTCCTCTGAACTCCCTCTCCCTTGTTCTACCTCTGTCCTACTCTGCCCAGCCGGACTTTGCCCTTCCCCAGCTTCCTCCACAGCCAATGGAGCCACACTCCCACCCCCTGTCAGCTGTCCAGCTTCCTCCTCGGATTCAGAATCTGACAGGGGCATGACAGCAGCCGACTGAAATCTGTGAGGCTTAATTAAGTATTGACTAACTTAAACCCCATTAATTTCAGCAGAACTACTCTTCTAAGCATGGTTAGCTGTTGAAATCTGTATTGCGACTGCCTTATAATTTTCTCTGGGGATTTTGTCTTATACAAATGGTCCTTGACTTATGACCACAAATGAGCCCCAAACATCTGTTTGTTAAGTGAGACATTTGTTAATGTGGATTTTATCCCATTGTACGATCTTTCTTGCCTCGGTCGTTAAGTGAAACTGCAATTGATAAGTGAGTAATCCGAGGATGAAGTGAATCTGGCTTCCCCATTGATTTCACTTATCAGCAGGTGATCACATCATTTTTGGGATGGTCATAAATATGAACCAGTTCCAAACATCTGAATTTTGATCACATGGTGGTCTGGAAAGGTCGTAACTGTGAAAAATGGTCATAAGTCACCTTTTTTCAGTGCCACTGTAAAATGGAACAGTCACTAAACAAACTAATGTAAGTCAAGGATTATCTGTATACATAACACCTGCCTTGTTTCTGATATCTGCATGTATGTCAACATTTTATTATTTATTGCTTGCATTTGGGGAATGCTTGACACGAAAGGTTATGATTTGCAAATGTTACATTGCCGATTTTTAAAAACATGTCATTGCTATTCTCCCCCCCCCCACCGTTCTGTTGATCTGAGTTGATTCATTTCACTGCCAAATTTAATAGTCCCTTGTTTCGATGAGTACAATTTTAGCAACTGTAATGTCACAGCAGGATGTACAAGTAATCTGCATTGATTAAAATTTCTCTACTTCATTCAGTTTAAATATTCTCATATCTAAGATATGATATATCTCATATAACAACTTAAATGCTTTCTGTAAAAAGTATCAACCAACTGAAGACAAGATCAATCTAATAAAATAGATTATATATTTGGTTCCTGAAGAATATCAGTAGCTTTTTTCCACCCCAGCATGCTGGGGTTGTAGTGAAACTACATGCAGATGAATCTTTTTAATAAAGATGTTCAGAATTGAACCAATTTTTAACCTACAAAGTTCCTTTTCTTTAACTGAAGAAAAACATTTCTACTCTTTTTTTAATTCTTCCTTTTTGTCCATCCTGACCCCCTTTTATTTCAAAATTGCGTTTGTTTCCACCTTTGCATAATGAGGTCTTTGATTTCTGATACTCCTGTTTGGAAATGAGATATCATCATTATTATTTTCTTCTAATATATATGTGTTATCACTATGAAGTTATGTCTGTTTCTTTGCTTGTATTTTCTGGATGTAAAATGTTTTGAAATTTATTTAGAGCAAGAAAGGAGTCTCCAGATATTTCCTCATCATGAAACCAAGCAAATTAATTCCTGTTTCCCCAGTTGTCTCCCTCTTTTTGAATAAATTAATGATGCTTTTTAACTGAGCCTATTTCATAGTGTCTATGTGGACATATAGTTTCCTTGGTTGGTGGAAGTGATGCCTCCATTGGGAATTTAGGATTTTTTTTTATTTAAGTATTTAACCTGATTTAAAGCCCTGAAATTCTTTGACAATCTTTCTTTGAAACAGTAAGCAGTCTGACTCTGCTTAGCTTCTGAACCCAGAGAAGTTTTCCCATATATTATCAACCCTGAAATTCATTTTCTCTTTTCTTTCTCCTTCCTTCCTTCCTTCCTTCCTTCCTTCCTTCCTTCCTTCCTTCC